TATTATATTTTTTTGTGTCTAAATTTTTTTTTTTTTTTTTTTTTTTTTTTTTTTTTTTTTTTGGGGAAATCTTCAACAATATCCTTTATTTTTTTATTGAAAACATTAATCCATTCAATTATAAATGTCCCTTATTGAAAATCAAATGATATGGAAAATATATTTGGGCCAGTAATTAATGCAAGAAAAATGATACTGATACTTTGCTTTCTTAGAAAATAAGGGGTTGCTCTATCAACTGATATTTATTTATTTAAAAAATGTATGCTTAATTTTGTATCCATACTTATATCATAACTGTTCTAAAATCAAAGGAAACAATATAAGAAATAATAGGAGCGACAAATCAATACAAAAGAAGCATTACTTCTTCAGATTGGACGATCCATTAATTCTTACATTGTGCAAATATCAAAGTTTTAAAATACGTAATGCATGACAATGCGTTTCTGTCGAACATTAGACATCACAAGAACATGCATGCATATGTGAATCATATGCATATTATGTGTTTTTCGAAATTTAATTTAATTTTTAATATTCTAAACTAATAAATAAAAATAATGCATTCTTTAAACTATATATATTCTTCTAGCCTTTAACAAAATCATAATGTTCAAAATCATAAATACCACAATTGCTTGATATCAATTCCAACAATTAGATTAGACACGGACATCGGCTTAAAAAAATTATAAATATTGTCTTAAATTTTATCGCATTCCAATTTTCAAATTCCTCTTCATCTAAGTCAATTTCTGTATCATTCGATGTAAAGTCATTTTCATCGAACTCCCTTATTTCAAATCTAGAATTTCTATTACCTCTTGTAGATGGTAGGACATCATTATTAACCTCCTTCTCGTCATCATAATCATCAAAAATCCAAGATTGTTTATTACTTGCATCACTTGTTAGTAAAACTAGAGAAAGATCGAAGAAGAAGGAAGCTCAGACTCTGCGTAATATTTTGCAACTTTACAAAATTTTGTTTTGATTTTTGAATTTTTAAATGTCAAGATCATACAAATTGTTGTATATAACTCATGTGCTTTGGTGATTTAGGTTAATTTGATATTTGTTGGGCTTATTTTGCGTTTTTAAGTTATAAAATGGCTGAATTTTGCTAGGCTAACCTTAACACAATTTTAATACAAATGCGTACATATTTTGGCACTTAAGGGTGCATATGCACTCAACAAAATGAGTTGACCGCATTATCATGCGAATATCTCATGTGCATGGCGTTTCAAAAATGCATTGATCATATGCAAGTACCTGCGAGTGTATGCGTACATTTTAGAACATTAGTATATATGCCTTCCAATCTATAAGATTTTAGCATGAGGAAATATAGAATAAAAATTTATGAGAAAAAAGATCAATTTGTAATTAAAATTATTCTATAATGTAAGATAAGTCTCTCATCTTCTTCGAAATTTATTACCCAAAAATTTTTTTTTTTTTTTTTTTTTTTAAATTTAATCGTGATGAGCATGCGCTCATATTAAGTTATTTGAATATTTGATTTCTAAATTTTTCACTTTGAGTATGATATTTTGATGATTATGTACAATCTTTCTTTCATCAATTTTTAAATGAAAGACTTTTAAAATCAAGTTTATAAAAAGTTTATGAAAGCCTTTTCATAAGTTTTTAGAATCTATAAAAATCAACCATTTAAAAAAACTATATACAAATATAAGTAAAAGTCTAAATGAAATACATTTATTTTCTTTTGTCTCTGTTAAGTTTTCAACTGTCTAGAATTAGTTCCTACTTCCCGCATCATGGTAATATTTTTTGGAAGGAGATGTGTTTGATGTTATTCTCCTAATTTGTGAATGAATAATTAGTAAATTTAAATCAGACAAATGTTCTAGAAATTAAATTAAATTCAGCGAGGTCAATTATTGTTACGAGTGATTTAAAACATTAGCCACTTTTCAGATCAATAAAAATAAGAAACAAAAACACAAAAACAGAAAGAAAACAAGAAAGGAACACGATGATTTTTCGCCCTAAGGCAAGAGGTTCAGAATCGAAGTTTCTAATCCCTTTTTGAGCTTCCACCATCGGAATGATATCACTATATCAATGGAATCAAAGAAACATTCCAGTATACAAGCTCCATGGCACTCAGACGAAATCATCCAAGATTTCTCCCAATTAAAGCCTCACAGAAACATAACAACATTCACTCAAGAATGTCAACTTATCAACCTATACAAATCACTTAAGATCTATACAAAAGGCTGGAAGATTTCACATCTACAAAGGGCTTATTTTCAGAGTGCCGAAGAGACGAAGATGAAGAACCATTGAGAGAGTTCAAGAGACGAGAGAAAGTGAAAAGTCTTGCATCTCGAACCCTAATGCCAGATTAAATATCGAAGGCACTAGAAGGTCTCCATCCAACGATAAGAAAGGCAACACTTGACAAGATCAGGAGCATCCATTCTGATTAAAAGAAATCGTGTTTCAACAAAATGCGCTTTTGCCAAAGTGAATCGGCAACCATTTAACCATTTAAAGGATCCAGTCCACAATTCCATGACAGCCCACATCCTTGTGCCATTTTCTCCACAATTATGTTTGTAGTGTTGATCGGGCCACCTAATTAAAGTAAGGCCATTTGTGGAATTTATTATGCTTAATAAATAATATCACCACCATCTTAAACAAGAAAACTTGATTTTTTATGCAATACGAAGACTATTAATATCCAATAATGTTAAATATTTGAATATGTTATGTTTTATTTATAGAAATTTGGTTCCACACAACATTGAAGTCAATCGTCATTCTTATTAGCATTAGTTCCCATGTTGACAATTTATCGTAAATTTATCATTTATTCCTATCATTTTTACGTTTAAAAGAAGAGGTGCAATGATTTTTAAATTATTTATTAGTCTATGTAAAATGAAACAATCATGCTCGGCCCCTATCCGTGTAAAAATTTAACAATTATTTTGTACAGAAACATTATATATGACGAATTTCTAACAAAAGTTGTCACTTTGAGGACTTAGGGCATGTTTGGGAGCGATTTTTCACCAAAAAAATTGATTTTTTGACCGTTATTTCACTATTCCAACAGTCATATTTGACCTCTTCTCTCACAAGTGGACTTCACTTTTCTCCTAACGATCAAAAAATCAATTCTCAAAATCACTCCCAAACACTCTTAAAACCTCCCGAAAAAGAGATGATGATAATAATAATAATAATAATAATAATAATAATAATAATAATAATAGTAATAATAATAATAATAATAATAATAATAATAATGCAACTCAAATGCCACGTTAGGCATTTTGTACAGAAATGTTAGGCTAAGAATTGAGGTTCTATCTTAAAATGTCAACATTATTAAGACGAGTAATTCAAGACCTTATAAGTTGGTCTATGTTTTCATCTTTAATCGATATAATATTTTATCCTTTAACATATCCACTCAAGATGGTGGCTCATTTGAGCATACCAATCTTGAAATTTGTATGCTCATTTATTAAGTTTTAATAGGATTGAATTGTTCATTGGAGTTTAATGTGCTCTAATACCAAGTAAAAACTTGGGGTTCCATATTAAAACGTCAACATTGTTAAGAAGAGTAATCAAA